TTCCAGGCAGAGGGAATAGTATTCATTTATGGGCTCCAATGTGGGGGGAGCTTGGTGCATCTGAGCTGCCGAATGAAGGCTGGCATGGCTTGGAGTGGAGTGAGTGAGGGCAGAGCAGCTGGAAGGGGCTGAGGCATGGCTACGACATGCTGCAGGCTGGGGGCCTGGACCCCGGAGGCAGGGTTTGGGGTTTGGAGTGCTGTGGGCCCTATTGCTCTGCCCACCAGACTGTGCACTCTTTGAGGACTCTCTGGTCCCCAATCTTGGTGCCAAGGTGTGCAGTCCCTGCACACTGAGCTCAGCAACCCGGGAGACACATCATCAGAGTTCCTCTCTTCCAGCGCCATGAAGGTCCCCACTGCTTTCCCATCCACCTCTGACCCCTCACAAGAGGGAGGTGGGCCATAGGATCAGCGCCCTGGTGCAGACAAGGCACAGAGAAGTGAGAGGATGTGCCTGGGCTTGGAACCCCTACCTGCTAGGTTGGGACCCCTTTTCCAGCCCTTGTCTTGGCCACCGAAAAGCGGCCTCGATCTCACACCCAGACTCACCCCAGGCCAGCCTCCTCTGCCCACCTTCACACAGTGACAGTGCAGATTCAGGGCTGACCTCCTGCCTCTACCTCCTACAGCCTAGGGGAGGCTGCACCCCTGCCCTTCACCTGTGCCTGGTCCAGGTGGGTCCGAGCTGGACAGTGGTAAGAGTCCAGATAACTGCCTTAGAGACACTCACACACTTCACTCCCTGTAGACCTGTTTCCTCATCTGTGAACCAGGTCTGTTCCTGCAGATCTTGTTAAAGACAGTGGAGGAGTGTAGATCCTGGCACATAACTGGCCACAGTAAATATTGGTTCTTTTATTTCCATCTCATCTGGACTTCAGTTTCCTCAGTGGGTTAATGACAGGGTCAGTGGGTCAGATGAGATGGTAAATGCTAGCTTTTTGTTGAGCACCTACGGAGTGTCAGGTGTGTTTAAACTTCCCAACAGCTCTGCAAGGCTGCTGGTGTCCAGCTAGTTTTACAGCTAGGAAAACCAAGGCTCTGGCTCTGAGTCACTTTGAGCTAGTTAGAGAATTCGAAGTCTCGTCTGACCCTGAGCTACAGCTGGGCCTTGTCCTGGGCTGACCTGGCTGAGCCGAGGAACTGACACCTCTGCCTTGTGCCTGCTCTGTCCTGTGCCTCCAGGGACAGATGGTGCTGCCGGCTGGGTCCTCTGCCAGCTCCCTGGCTGCAGACCTGCGTGTTCCTGCCACTCCCAGAAGCAGCCTCCTTGTGGGTAGGAGGTGGCACAAGGGCAGTGGTGGAAAGGACCAGAGTCTGGCATTTTGGGGACACAGGGATGAGTCAGACTGGACCTGTCCTCAGGTTCCCCCAAGCTGATGGGGAGACAGAGAGTGGTAAAAACCAATGATGAGAGCACAGTGTGGCCAGGCCATGACAGAGGGAAGCCCAGAGGTGGCCCCTCATAGCCTAGGGGACAGGGCAGTCTCCCTGGAAGAGGTGATGGGGTAGCTCAGCCTTGAAAACTTTTCCAGGTTGGGAAGCATGGTCCCGGCAGGGGCACCTGTGTGTGAGATGTGGGAAAAGCTCTTTCCACAAGGAAGAGGGAGAGCATTTGGCAGTAACCCCTTGAGGTGTCTCTCCCTGGCCCGCTTGCCCATGTAACACATGTATCCTGCCTGGGCCTGCTTCAAGAGCAATAACCTTCTCTCAGCAAATCAGACATTAATTAATGAACGGCATTAGACATTAAGTATGAAGCACCTCTTTTGGAGAGGAAGCCTAGGGAATGAGTAGAAAGAACTGTGGTAGTGAGAAAAGCAAAATCCCAGCTCTACCACCCAGAGCAACGTGGCCCTCAGATAGCCCGGTTTCAGTTCCCTTTTCTGTGCAAGAGGGATAGTTGTCCCTCACAGGGTTTGGTGAGGATTAAATGGTATGATGGATATGAAGCCATTATATAATGTATATAAATGCCTGGAACATAGTAGGTACTCAAAAAAGTATAGTGGGGTGATGGGGGGTGGGAAAGGGGAGCTGTTGGTCAAAGGGTACACCTAACATACAGCGTGGTGACTGTAGTTAACAATAATGCCTTATGTACTGGAAATTTGCTAAGAACGTGGATCTCAAGCATCCTCACCACTCTCCCCCAAAAAGGGTAACTGTGAGGTGATGGATGTGTTGATTAGCTTGATTGTGGTAA